CGTGCACGTCACACACGGAGCGGATGGGTAAGAACCGTGGTCGGCGAACTGCGGCTCTTTGGCCCCTTGAGTGGGGCTCTCCCACAAAATGCCACGGCCTGGGCGAGTCTATTTTGAAGAAGTGGCTTAGAAGACGTTTAAGTTTAAAATATTTGGCTCTCCAAAGAAACTTCAATCGTTGTCCTGTTGATATCTGGCTCTGCTGACAAACGAGTTTGCCGACCACTGGGCTGGAGCACCGCCCGTGGAAAAAAACGGCGCTCCTCAGGCTGTTCCGTCTGCCGGCATTCGCTTTCCACCGGCAACGCTTTACGGACATGAAACTCTGAATCTTATTTTCCATTTCCCAGGTGAGGTTTTCCCCTGATTAAAAGGTAGAAATAATGTAGTCGCCACACGTGAAAGGGAAAGACGCTTACAGCCGTCCGGTATGCTGCGGGCGCGTTTTCCAAGGATCCTATCTTAAAATATACAGATTCTGCTCATCATAAGATGAAGAGCTGGTGGCAGAAATTTTATCCCACTGGCTGAAATACATAAATCATGAATTTCATAATACTGATAATTAAATGTCCGTCTTCCCATTTAAATGAGGACTAGATTAAAACTGCACGGAGAAGGCTGATACTCAGAAAACATTAATTATTTTTAATTGCTTTGTGCTCTCCTGGTCTGATGTCGGTTCCATGGCTCATACACGGCTCTGTTTCCGATAAAGTCCTCCTCCGCTCTGCTCGCGAGGCGCGGGCCAAGCGGAGGGGCCGATGGGCTCAGACTTGCCCACGCTCGCACGCTTCCTGGTGTCGGCATCTTGAATGGGGACTGGGTTTTAAGAGGGAACAGCTGCAGCCGAAACCGGTTTGGCTCAGTGGTAGAGCGTCGGTCTGCGGACTGAAAGGTCCCAGGTTCATTTCCGGTCAGGGGCATGTGCGTTGGTTGCGGGCACATCCCCAGTGGGGGGTGTGCGGGAGGCGGCTGGTCGATGTTTCTCTCTCATCAATGTTTCTGGCTTTCTCTCTCCCTTCCTCTCTGTAAAAAAATCAATAAAATATATTTAAAAAAAAAAAAAGATTTAAGAGGGAACAGCTGCAGAAGGCAATAAGCTGGCTTTTCCAGCAATCAAAAAGAAAACCGAAAAAAAAAAAATGCACATGCACACACACACACACACACACACACACACACACACACGCACACACACACACACGCCCCAGGCCGGTTCCAGGTCATGGCTGTGGTCTGGGGCCACTGTGCCCTGTCACTCTCCAACGTGATGATGTGGTGGATAAAGCATGTGGTCAGCCTAACGCCGATGGGTAAGTGGACATGTCAGCACGGGATCTGCCCCCGACTCAAAGGCAAGGACACGGAGGCCCACAGCTCCTCGCTGAGGCTGTTCCTCCTGAATCCGCGGGTATGTGAGGTGTCCAGGGTCATTACCTGCCTGTCTTAATATGCATGCGCTTAATTTTACTACTTTAAGCTACCGTGTCCATTTTTCAAAAGGGAGAAAAATAGGTTTTCTTTTGCAAACATTCTTCACTTGGGAATAGAAATCAGTTGATAACCAGCACCCCACAGTCACCGGCTCAGGAGGTGACAGCTGTCACAGACGGACAGACACATTCCTGGGTGAAAGGCAGAAGCCTGTGCTGCAGGCTGGGTGCCCGCACAGGGGTGTCCCTCAGGCTGGACGGGCCCCAAGGTCTTGAGTCCCCACGGTGTGTGATGCTCAGCACAAGGCGACATCTCTCTCAGTCCTCAGACATCTCTGGCTCACCGAGCGGGTCCCCTACGTGGTCCTTCAGGTGGATCGTTTAAAAAAACGTTATATATTTTTACTGACTTCAGAGAAGAATGGCGAAGGAGAGATAGAAACATCAATGATGAGAGAGGATCGTTGACTGGCTGCCTCCTGCATGCCCCCCACTGGGGATCGAGCCAGAAACCTGGGCATGTGCCCTGACTGGGAACTGAACCACAACCTTCTGGTCCATAAATCAATGTTCAACCACTGGGCCACACAGGCCAGGCTCAGGTGGACCTTTTAAACTCACTGAAAAACGGTGGTTTTGCTATTCGCTGCCCCTTGGGGGCCTCCGGACGGGGAAGGTTCAGTAAAAGGGACAGCCAGCTTGATTCTTGCTGTCTGTACGGAAGCTGCCCTGGCCCAGCACCGAATCCAGACTGCCCCTCACCCGCGGCTGCGCCCTAAGTTCCTGGCCCAGGTTTTTGTTCACACTTACTTTTTCACTCCCATTTTTATTTTGCTACATGTATTTCGAGCTACCTTCAATCTTTCCGGAACAAAGAAAATAGATACGAATACATGTTCAGACATCTAATCATCTAAAAATTCTAAGAAAGAAAAGGCAGAATGCCATCATTTGGGACTAAACTAGAAGACGTTTCAGGAGAGAGAAGATATTCTTAAAAAGAAAACTAACAGCCAGGAAGAGTCCAGAATAATAACCTTTTGCACGCTGACATCCCAGGGGGAGTCCCCAGAGGAGGCGGTGTGGGGACTGCCATTCCGATCGGGGCACACGCCAGCGTATCAGGGTTTCAGCAGGAGCCGTGCTCCTCCCCCACTCTGAGTGCAGGAGAAAACCTCGGGCTAGATCACGCAGAGCAGCCGACAGGTTCGGGCAGACCACGCGCGGGGCCCCGAAAGGCTGACGGATACACACACAGATCGGCAGAGCCTGCCCGACGAGAAGGACCTCGCAGACACGAAATGAGCTCACGGGAGGTGGTGGCCCGAGGCTGCAGGCGCTGGAGGGGCGGTTCCGGGTGATCCTCTGCCCCAGACCACAGAGGGCATCCCTGGGCGAGGCAGACCCTGGCTGAAGGCCTGCCGCCCGCCCCCTCCCTCCCCGAAGGAGCCGCCCTGAGCAGCGTCTTCCTTCTGCAGGTGGCATGGGTAGATGTCTTAGAGAAATTCCGGCATGCCCTTGGGAAAACATTTCAAAGCAAATAGTACTTCACTAACCACACGTACAAATTAGATGTGGGCTGCTTTTGCAGATTCTAGTTACACTGTTTGGAAATCTACTTATGTTAGGAAGGACTGCAAACTAATCAAGTATTTTCAGGCACGAACCAGCCCCCAGGATTCTGCACCAAAGGCGCAGGTCGTGAGCATGTGCTCCAGCTACCGTGGCATCAGGCATCAGGCACCGGGCAAGGGCTGAGGCCCAGGGCACACGCTGCCTTGACTGTTTTTGGAATAAACTGCTGAAACCTTAACTTCGCAGTACCACACGGAGAAGTGGCACTCGGAGCCAGATCCTGCTCGTGTGGGGGAGGGCGGTCTCTGCCCCTTCCATCCAGAACGCCGCGGGCAGGCAGCCGGGGTCGGCGGGCAGGCTTCCCAGCGGCACGCGGCTGCCCGGTGCTGAGCTTGCAGCCTCCGGAGCCAGCGGGTCCTGCGGGTGTTTCTGGCAGCATCACCACAAAGCATTCCCAGGCCCGGCAGAGCGGTTTGATGCCTGCAGCCGCCGAGGCCCGAGCTGCCTGCTGCTCTGGGCTGCAGCCTCCCAGCTCCCTCTGCTTGGGAGATAAAACCCAACTGTCTGCCGTTTACGTAACTGTAACTGAAGCTGCTGAATGGCTTCTCCCGTGTCTCGAGGCCGTTGCTGAGCGAACAGCTGAAATGAACCCAGACAACACCTCATCAAAGCCCGGCGAGGAAGCGCGGCCCGAGCACACAGGCGCTCCTGCCCGCCGGGAAGCCTCGCTCCGCGGGCCCTTTTCCGCAGGAACGCCAGCAGCTGGGAAAGCCATCAGAGAGCCCGAGGGGGGCAGCGGGCACACCGCCCAGAGGTTTGCAGGCTGGAGGGAGCCGTCCTCAGCTCCGGCTGAGCCTCCACACGTGCCTGCAGAGTGAGATGCTCTGCCAGTAGGCACCTGGGGACACAGTGGCTCTTCCACAAAACAGGCCATCTTTCCAGCCGGCCATGCTCCTGTGGCCTCTGCAGACAGAGCCGCTGCACAAGTGCAGCTCCCCCTGGAGATGCTGTTCTCAGACACGTCCCCTCCACCCCCCCCTCCCGGGCGCCTGGCTCCGGGCGTGCAGCCAGGCCCTGGGCCCGGGACACCCGTCCTCACCTCTCCCAGCAGGTGCGCCACCCAGAAATGGAACAACTGGCTTTTGCTCTTACTTCCAAACCCATTAGGCAGTGATCATAACGAGAAAAACGAATACTGACACGAATTACACCATTGTTCTCCTGCGTCTATTGAGTAACCCGAGGTTGGATTTTTAGAGGAAAGATTACCTTTTAAATAAGCGGTTCATTACGGAACATGAGGGAATGCCATGTTCCGTGTTCAGAGTGCCACTCACCATTAAGGGCGTGCGCTGGGAAGTGGCACTTCCCCCTCAGACAGACACCCCGACGAGGGCCCGGGATAAGCGAGGGGAGCAAGCCACCCGCCCGCCAGGCACCTAATGAATCTCAGTCCCGTAACAAGGCTGTGAGTGCCCTCCCCGGTGACGGGGAAAGGAGAACCAGGACTGATGAAGTTCCTGCCAAGGAAACACTATCAATTTCAAGGCCAAGTTCAGAAATCACAGACTCCTGTGTGGGGTGAGGGGGCAGAGCTAGGCCTGGTCTCCCGCCCGCGTTCCCTCTGTGAGAGATGAGAGGCGGACAGCCTGGATGCGGGCGGGAGACCAGGCCCAGCTCTGCGGGCCCCCCCCTCCCCAGCCCCGTGGGAAACCCGCTCGGACCTGGACCTGGCAGGTGAACAATGTGCTGCCTATTCTCTGGAAACCTCCCCTCAAGCCTGGGAAACTCACACATTGTTTTTCATCATTAGTTTCAAAACACGCTGCGTATCCGGCCCTCCTCCGAGTGTGCGGAGACACAGAGGAGGGGGGCTGCTGGCTGCCGGGAGCAGGGCCTGGCAGGGAAGGGGTGGCAAGACGGATGCCCTGGAAGCACGGAGGGAGGAGGCGCGGACGGACGGCAGCTGCCGCTGGCGGGCCCACGTACCTGAGATGGCGTACAGGTTGGAGTGCTGGTACTCGTAGTCCGCCCGCGTGCTGCTCCTGCCCCGGAAGGTGGCTGGCAGCGTCAGGGAGATGTGCCTGGGGGAGACGGACACGGGAGGTTAGGGTGCGGGGAGCATTCCTGGGTGCAGAGCGCACAGACACCATCGCCGTCGGCAGCCCCCAGCAGCATGGCGCAGAGCAGGTGCTCCTGGTGAGCAGGGTCCTCCACCAGCCCCAGTTCCCCAAGGAATCCAGAAGGTTCCACACCGGGAAGGGCTTCGGAGAGGAAGAAAGGGGTTCCCGGTGACGGCACGCCCAGGGAGCTCCAAGGAGGTGGGCGGCTCAGGCCAGGGCTCTGCCCACCAGGTAAGGGACACCCACGGGCCCAGAGCCCGCGGCTTTGGGCGTGAGCCGGCTGTTCTGTGTCCTGGTCCCAGGTTCCATCCCTCAGCTTCCACACGGGACCCCTGGGGAAGCGCTCTGTGAATACGGTGCTGGGCGTGGCCACCACTTTTTCCAAACAGACTCGCCCAGGCTGTGGTATTTTGTGGAAGAGCCACACTCAAGGGGCCAAAGAGCCACATGTGGCTCAAGAGCCTCAGTTTGCCAACCCCAGTCCTGGAACGACTGGTGCACAAGGACTCCTGGGAGGTAGGGTGCTCTGGGGAGGCCTGTGCCCACAGACCAGGAGCGAGCAGGAGCCTCCCAGGACCTGGGCACCGAGGCTGTAAAGCTCGCATGTCAAACTCAAAGGCTAACAAGGGTCAAATGAATGAGGCATGCGGCCCTCGGGCTGCGAGTTTGACACGCTTGCTGTAGAGGCATTTGTGGAGTGAGCACTGATGGCAGTGCCACCGACTCAGAGGGGCTTCCCTGAGCACCGAGGTGTGCTGGGGCCGCAGGGCGAGCAGCAGCGTGGCCACTGGGCGCTCCCCGTGGGCAGTGAATGTGCGTGAGGCTGAGGGTGCAGGTGAGCCCTGAGGAGCCCTCAGGCCGCAGGGGCCAGAGGTGCAGGAACAAATACCTTCCACGTGACACGCGCCGAGAACACCAACTGGGCGCTGAGTGAGCCTCAAAGGAAGGAAAGACACTCATTTAAAGGGGCAGAGCTTCTTGTGACGCCTTCTGAGGCCGGGGCCGGAGGAGGGGGTTCTCTGCCCGGAGACGAAGGTTCCTGACTCCGTGCTGCCCCTCACGGCACGGACGAAGGCCCTCCAGCCGCCTGGGAACTCGCTGACGACACCGACCCGCAGCCCAGACCTGGGCGCCGGGTCAGGGCCCGGGTGAGGCCACAGGCGTCAGTGCTAACAGGCACCGCAGCACTAGGCCCGGCCGGCCGCTTTGGAAGCTGGGTGAGGGGCAGCTGCAGAGGCTTCGGCATTGATCAATGCCTCTGACCACAGCCCTCAGTCACCGGAGCTGAGCAAACGCCAGGATGAATTACTGGCTGCGGTTGTGGTTGAGCAGAGCGCAAACGATGACAGGTGACCCCGCAGAGGCTGGCGCGCCGGCCCCGGTGTGCGGGTCTCCCCGGTCCTCTGAGGCTCCTCACACCCACCGCCCCCGAGGCGACCCAGCCTGCCCTGCGGCTCACGTGCTGGGCTCGGGGCAGGATGGGGGGGGGGGGGCTCTGGTTCAAACGTCATTAAGAATTCCAACATGGTGACAGCGGGGCACAAGCGGGCGCGGGGCCCTCTGAGCGCGGGCGCCGTGGGACGCCCCGGGGATCCCCTCACGGTTCCAACCCAGCGCCAGGGCTGCCACACCCGGAGGTTTCTGAGCCTCGAAAGCCCCCAAAGACACAGCTGGCTTAACCAGGACAGAACGAACGCCTGTGCAGAGCGGCAGCTACTCCGGGGCTGCAGGCACTCAGGGCCCTGCTGGAGCTCTGACGGGATCCAGAAGGATTGTTAAGCCGAGATGTGACGAGACCCAATTTGCAATTTTAAAAGATTGCCCGCCTGTGGGAAAGGGAGGGCAAAACCTGCGATGCCCCGAGTGGTGGAGCAGCAAATTACGATGAGGATTACCATGTAACTGCAAGCAATTATTCAGCACCTACAGTTTACACCCCCCCCCCCCCCATAGTTCCTGCCAAGATGGCCTGCTGCCTTCCTCTCCGCAAGTACCGTAGTTTTGGGACCATTCTATGGCACAGGGGCCTTGCTCCTTAGCCGCCCTGGACCCAATGTGGTCCGACCTTCCACTGCCTCCCCCGGCCCCACCTGGCTGCACCCCCGCCTGGTTCTCTTTCTTCCTTGCAGATGGCCCTTTCTGGCTCTGACCTTTTCAAGGCTGCTGTTCTCAAAGTTCTAGTTTAGCTACCTTCTCACTCCACACCCCTGCCCTGGGTACCAAACCCATACTCACACCCGGCTTTAGCCATTTTCACACAGCTGCCCAGCCTGCCAGCCTGCGTCTCCCTCTGACAGGAAGAAGGGAGGTCTTGTGACTCTATGACGATGCCATGGTTTGTGTTTTTCCCCCCTATGACTTAGCTTGATTCTTTATTCATGCTGCTCCTTCTTCCCAGAATCTCCATTCCTTATGTACTTTCCGAACTCCTATTCATCCTTCAAGACCCCGTCTAAGCACCCACTCTTCAGTAGGGCCAACCCAGGGCTTATTCCAGGCTGGACTGGATGCCTGAATGACCCCTCTCACTCTAGGTACCCCGATATACTGTAACCATTTGATATAAGCCTATCTTTCTCGTATGACTGTGACCTCTCAAGGGCAGGGCCAAATCTCATCACTTTTGTACCCCATTTTCTAGGGCGATTTCTGCCCTAGATTACTGAATATGTGTCAACCAAATCCAGGGTTGAACCTACTCCATGGGGATCCCTGGGCCCTCTTGGACATGAAGTGCTGTGAGCCTCCGTTACTCCATTCCTGCCCGTGTGTGCTCCCCAGTTACTAGGAGATCCAAGGAGCCTCTGGGAGATCCATTAGAGCGTGCACCGCACTGCTCTTTGCTAGGAAGGAAAATAGGTACGACATAACGAGAATTTGGTGGTGGCAGCGGCCAGGAATTTACAGGGGGGGGGGGGAAGTTTCTGATCTCATATGACAATGCCTGGTGTTGCGGTAAATAAAAAATTAAAAGACAATTCAAGCCCTGGCAGTGTAGGTACTAGTAAGTGGTTAGAGCACGTGTCAAACACAAGGCCCGCGGGCCAAATCCGTTCCGCCAGGCCTTGCAATGTGGCCCGCACCGCGCTGTCATCACTGCACTCCGCTGTGTTTCCATCACAATGACAGTTTATGACTGTTCAGTAAACCATTCAGCCCGCGATTTAGGCTGGATTTTAGATTTTGGCCCCTTCTCTGATTGAGTTCGACACCCCTAGGTTAGAGCATCAACCCAATGCACAAAGGGTCATGGGTTTGATTTCCAATCAAGGGCACATACCTGGCTGCAGTTCGACCCCTGGCCCCAGTGGGGGGTGTGGGAGGCAATCAATCGACGTGCCTCTCCCTCCCTCCCTCCCCACCTCTCTCTCTTCCTCCCTCCCTCCCTTTCTCTCCCTCTACCCCCCCCCCCCATAGAGTAATTGTTCCAAAGGTAGTGGTTGAATTAAAATCAAGCTGCCAGAAACTCCAGCTACGGAGTGGACGTGGCAGTGTGGAGGGCAGCTTTCAGGGAGCAGAGTGCTCAGGCCTCGGCCCGCTGCACTGGGGAGGAGAGTCCCTATGCTGCGTGTTTGCTTCCGCTGCTCCTGGCCCGGAAAGGAGGGAGGTGGGGAAGGGGCAACCCCAGGCCTCCGTGAACGAGGAGCAGCAGACTGGGCCGAGGGAGCGATCACTGGGGTTACTGGACGGAAGTCACCTGCGGAGGAGAAGTGGTCCGCGCTCTGCGTGTCAGCCTCCAGGGACAGGGACAGGGACAGCTCTGCAGCCGCTGAGTCTCAGCGAAATGACACCCCCGCCCTGTGTCCCTGTCTGGTGGGGAACCACCTGCCAGGCACTGGGCAAGGTTCTTTCATGCCCATCACCTTGCCTAACCCTCCCAGCAACTTCTTAAGGTGGGAATAATCCTTTTTACCAAAGACAGGAAGCCGGCTCTACGGTGTGGTGCCCAGAGAGGAGTGGGGTGCCTGTGGGCCCGGGGCCGCTGGAGGAAGAGGCAGGCCGTCAGAGGCCAACGATGGCTGCCATTTGACTCAAATGAGGAGTTAATATTCCAAAAACCCATTCGGTAACTGAGGCTTCCAACTAGAGCACCCCCAAATGCCCAGGCACTTTACCGAGCTCCCTTCTCTGTCCCCCAGGAGCTGCCCCGCTGAGCTGCCGCGTCTCTGCAGGTGGGACGGGCTGTCCCGCAGCGAACAGGGCGGCATCCCGCACGCTGCTGCCTGGGCTCCGGCTAAGCAGATGCCGAGGGAGATCTCATTCCCCGCCTCCCCCGCCAGGCACCTTATTCAATTAACGTGGCCACGAGGCTGCCGACAGCTCCATATGAGAGCCCTTCAGTTCCAGAATCCATTTTATTATGTGACAATGGTTGCCAGCACGATTTATTTCCTTTGATGGGATTCTGCCTTTTCCGTGTTAATTTAAATCTGTATTTTCTAGTGCTGATTCCAGGTCTGTGTGAATTTTTAAAATGTGACCATTCATCTTTCGGGCCCGTGGCCACATACAAGGAGGACACCTCTGCCCTCTCACACTGTCAGAGGGCAGCGAGGAGGCCACTGCAGCTAGAGGCAGGTGTCACTGTCATCTCCTACCCCCCCCCCCCCCACACACACACACCAGCCACAACCTGAGGCGTGAAATCGCAGTCCCGTGCTGTTTCTGGGGGAGCTTCCCCTGGTGCCCACGGACCCGAGGGCTCCCAGACTGCGCCCAGAAGGCCGCAGCTCTTCCCATGAGAACACTGAGACATCACGTGCCTTTCACCCTCACCCTCTCACAGCAGACAGGAGGTTCCGGAAGCTACGTGACATGATGGTGTCCTTGTTCTGAGGTAAGTTTCAGTTTTAACTTCTGATAAGGTGAATGTGGATAAAAATAACTACCACGAACACCAATTCCTTGGAATCCTCCATTTGAAAAACTGTAAAATTCCTACAGCAAGAGTTTGAAAGCCA